CTTACTGAATTTTTTTTGTATATTTGTCATTGCATTTTCTTTTTCATTCCACAGCTTTTGTTGATTGGAAAAATACTTGCGGAATCGAATTTTCATTTTCTTCCACAAGGTTATCAATATGGACCTTCGTTAACACAATAATCTGGAGTTTCTCCAGACTCTAGTATGAATGTTGTAACATTTATGTTGTGATATATAATGAAAGATTCAGTAGAAATTTTAGCTACAATTGTTATCAAATGTATTTATTTTTAGTCACTTATCCAGAAAAAACTCTAAAATCAAGTATTTTTGAAATGGAGAAGATGACTTATCAATTTGCGATATTGTTCTAAGGAGATCAAGTCACAGAGAAATGTTACATGGTCAGTAAACAAGTATTTATTCTGTCCAAATGAACCCTACAAACCGAGTGAACATGCGTGAAGACTCATTAACCATAAGTGGTCGGAATGTTACTGATATTGCGTGTGATACTCAATAAGGCCACCAATGCTGTATATGATGAGGCTTTTGTTACATCAAAAAGATCATGCATGAATTCCTTGACTCAAGTAAGGGCTTACTCAGTCAGATGATGTAAATGACTTCTCATGAGTCACGAATGTTATGTAACGTTCACCACGTACACGTCAAGCTAGGATTTTTCCCAGCTCGTATAATTAACGCCACAAAATCGATTAATCTTGATAACGTTTCATCCAACACATCTCGTATAAGTTGTAGGAATCGAGTTAATCCAGCTGAAATGCTGGCTACACCAGCTCTGATTGGTTAAGTTGGTTGATGTGACATTTGACACTGTATGATAAACTTAACCAGTTTGTGATCATGAAGGAAATTGGATGGCATATCCATTGAAAAAATAAGCTGATACCCGTAGACCCTACATACTATGATGTAGTACATAATTATTAAAAATAGACAAAAATATTTTCATGTGCGCGTACACGACCAAGGATGAAAACAATTGTGTTCCATAGATCAGAGAATGAAAATAGTTTACTTGATTTTCACATCTTTATGATAAAGTGGTTTGCTTTGAATTCCATATCTTTTTTTCTCACAAATACGATATATTATGTCATATTTGGTTAGTTATGCGGGTTTCGGGTGGAATCGCATTTACCGACTGGTCATAACTTACATGGGAAAAATATAACCACATGCTTTATCTCCCTTTGAAGGGAGTCTGCATGGACATTTTGGGATCTAGGGATAGAAAAAAACTGAAAAAAATATCAACCTTTTAACGTTGAGAAGTTATAAACTTTTACAAGTTATTCTTGTGGGGGTAGTACTAACCAAATGTGATGTGAGTAACAAATCGAATACTGCTGATCTATGCATATTTCTTTTTTTTTGTGAACTTTTTCATCATATGTACAATAAATATATTTAGCCATTCATAAAGATTGAGCTTTTTATTGTATCTTTAAGTGAAGGAATCTTTCATATACCCTCTAACATGAGATCAATGCATTGTGCTGAACAGGGAAACTAGTATAAATGTGGTCTTTTGGCCAAGCAGCTACCCTGAAAATTAAAAGAATAGAAGATAGCATTAGATTCATAATACCAGCTTTAACATAGTTTGATGCATTGTCAGTTATCACTTGGACAACATTAACCTCTCCAACTTCATCCACCATACGATCAAGCTTGTTAAACAAGAAAGTACAGTATTTCACAGCCTTTGAAACATCAACTAATTTGAGGAAATCTTATCCTTTTGGAGAGTTAACAAGGAAGTTGATGATGTCCTTTTGTACAACTGAATCAAGCCATCCATACAACATGATTGAACAGCCTTTTGCTATCCAACTGCTTTGTGTTCCACCAGCTGATTCTTAGTTTCCTTGTATCTTATATATTAAAAGAGAAGTCATAACTCCACTTCATGTGTGATATTTTAAAATGGACCATCTAATAAAATATACAACATTACATTATTCAGTCATTAATAACAATTATTAGATTCACTAATAACATTTATTGGGCTTACTAGAAATTTTTATTGGGCTAATAAAAATTAGATGATCCATTGGATTTATAGATATTATAATAAAATTCATGTTTAAATTAAACTTATATAATTTAATATTGTAATAGTATAAGTTAATTATTTATATATTTTTTATGTTAACTTTAAAAATTATGTAGTTTATTTTTAAAATAACAAAATCACCATTTTCTAACAATAATTAATCTATACTATATAATAATTAATCATCATTTTCGATATACACACTTTATATAATATATACCGATTTAGAAATAAAAAAATGTTTATATTAAAATAAATGAAAACAAATACCTGCGCGGTTGCGCGAGTTGAGATCTAGTTCTTTAATTAAGAGAGAAAATCACAGTTCATACATACTTGGTGGTTTAAAACCAGAACCATATAGAGTTACTAGTTCAAGTGTCTCCTTGAAACTGTCATAGTTGATTGCATTGAAAAGAATCACTGTATCGTAAAACCACTTTGAAATATCATTACAAACATTGTCCATAAATTCTTTATAACATACTCCAAAAATATATTTTTGGTTTTCTTGTTTTCAAGACACCTGGAGGAGTAAGAGAAACAAACATGTCCATAGAATTCACGTTTTTCAGATTGGGCTGATATGGGTGTTGTTGATTTGATTCTTCTACTTCATCATAATCAAACGCTAGTTGTTGCATTTGGAGAGCATCTTTAGTTTCAGCCTTGTTAATGAGGAAATTATTGACTTCTTCATTCACATGATCAGAGACTTTAGGACGGAGAATAATGGTCGGTAGCCTCCAACCAGATGTTGTTTAACAAGTAAAACCATTTGTGATTTTATCACAAAATTTACATATCCAACAACCTAATTTCTTAGGATTAGCAATTGTATACTTTCTTGCTAGATCGATTTGATTGGTTGCAATAGACATTGTGAGAAAAAAAAAGTAGGAGACTTTAGAAAACATAGTAGAAGCAAGAACCAAAAGATCTATAAAACAAAAAAAAGCAAAAAGATATAATAGACTTGGATAGCGCAGGAGTCTAAAAATATATTTTCAAGAATGTAAATATATTAATTATGTAGATTGATATTTTTTTCTGCTTTAGCAGATTTTGTCGCTTAGAGCATCTCTAATGCACTACTCTATTTTTCACTCAAAAATGGTGTAACTCCAAAATGGAATAGAGTTTTATATACTAATGTATTATTTCATTTTTTATTTCAAAAATGAATATTCCCAGATGCTTCCTTTTTATTTAGTTAATAATTTTTAGTAATATTTTCAACTTTTAAAAATTTAACAATTAATCCAGCTATTTTATGTTTACAACACTTTCATTAAAATATATTTTATTTAACTTCGAATATTTATTTAGTAAAAGTTATAATAAATCATAAATTTATATGATTTACCATATTTTGTTTTATAAATGAATATTAGTAATGAGATTCGTTATCTTTGATTTTCTTAAATCAAATAAAAAAATTATGAAATCGGATATTTTCATGTTATGTAATTTCAATATCTATGGGTAGTATTTCTCTTATAGCTTCAACTAGTGCAATTTACATCATATGAAATTTTCCTAATTCAATACCAAAATTATGCATTAAAATAAGATGAAAAAGAAAAAAAAGATTTTTTTTGTAAATCGAATTTTGTATATGATCTACATATTTGTGCATATATCAAGTTCAACAATTACAAATGTTATCAAACCAAATTTTTGTCTCACAAGATAAACAAATTCATCTGTTCTATTTGAATAATAGTTCACCGATTTTAATAATTCTAAAAAGAATTTATCAGATTATTAAATTATTTATTTTATATTATATATTTTTTTGTTTAGTTTTTATTTTTATTTTTATAAATTTAAGCCTTTTCATGTAAATTTACTAAATATTAATTTTTGTAATATCATATTTTTATGTTATTACAGCATTTTGAATATTATTTAAATATGAAATAAAATCATTCAAATTTAAAAAGATTATTTTATAAATGAAAAAAAAAAATTAACTCCAAAATGTAGTAAAAGATAAGATTACTCTATAGTTTTTTTCCAAAAAAAACTCTCTCTCTTAAAATTCCTCTGCCTTCTCTCTAAAAAACCTCCATTGTTGAAGCTTGCTCTCCGACTCCGGTTGCTCTCTCAGAGCCGGAGTTGCGTCTTTGGTTTTTGTATCTCGTTTGGTCAGCTGAAATCATCTAGTTCTCCTTTTATTTCTTCTCTTTGGGTAGCTTAATCAAGTATTGATTTTGTCTTTCCGAGAGATTGAGGAGTTTTACTGATGATTTAATGTTGTGTTAATCGATCTTCTTTGCTTGTTCTATCTAGTTGTAGCGGGATGGGTTTTATGACCCTCCAGATCTGTTTTTTTTTAGAAACCCTGTGTTGTTTTGTTAATCTTGCATGTCGTCTCTGAGCTTTCTTTGACTCACTACTGGTTTCGATCTTCGACTATCTCGATCTCTCGAGCAAAGTTGAACCCGGTTGTGATTTGTTTCGCTCCTTGTCATCTTCTGTCAAGCTTCTTATGGCGTTTCGTGTTCTCTCTTCTCCGACTCAGTCATTCCGGTCGATGACTAGTGAACTTAAAAGTTATGTCTCCTGGTGTTTGAAGCTTGGGTCTCTACATTGCATGTGATATTCCCTATAGGAGGAGACGCAAGCCAGAGGTTTCTCCCAAGTCTGGAGTCCTCGCCTTGTCTTCTTTCAAAGGAGCCTGGTGGTAGTCAACTTGCAATGCTGTGTTCGTGGTTTTTCCAGATCTGGTTCTTGCTTAAGATAGTTTAGATTAGTAAAGTTAATGATCATGTTTCCTCTTTGTTGATCTTTGTCTCCCATGTATGGGATGTTTTCGAGGACCTTATGGTTGATTCATCGGACTTTTTTACCGGGATTTGTATAATCGCCGGTCTATGTATGATTATCGTTTAATCTTAATGAAAATAGTGTATAAAGAAAAGATAAGGCCAACATTATCAGAGCTTCTATGGGTGACTTCTTAGTAATAAAGGCACCAAAAATAAATGAAAAAGGCTGAAATACCCAACAAACGTTTACTAATTAAGAATTTTTCTGGATGGTTCTTAGTTGCGACGTGGCATAATGACATTGGAGTTCAGTATCGTGTAGGGCAAAGAACCATTGCGGTCTCCAATCTCTCATTCATCTTCTTCTTTCCTCTCTCGACGGTGAAACCCAATCGCATGACCTTGTCCGCCGATTTCATCCCGCTTAAAGGTTTACCAGCGATTTCATCCATCTCAAAGCTATTAAGATTTAGTGAAATTTTGAATTTCAATACTTAAAGTCTCTAACTTTTATCAGTGACAGCAAGATTCTTAGGAACTAGGAATGGTAACCGTGCTCTTAGCTTTGTTGGAGGTAATGGATGGGGCAAAAACGTGAGTGCTAGTTCAATGTGGGTGATGCTGTTTTTATTTGTGACTTGAACTCACAAGAAAAGGTAATTATTGTGACTTTTCTAGACATGGATGTAGTGTTTGGTATTGGGCATTTTCTGAACTGCTTGGATTTGGATGCTTCAGGTTTAGCTGATCCTTATGTGAAAGGGCAGCTTGGCGCTTACAGTTTCAAAAACAAGATACTAAGGAAAACATTGGCTCCAAAATGGCAAGAAGAGTTCAAGATACCAATCTTGACATGGGACTCTCCAAATATACTCAACATTGAAGTACAAGACAAAGACATATTCAGCGATGACAGACTTGGTGATTGTTCAGTAAACATTTCAAAGTTTAGAGGTGGGCAAAGAAATGATATGTGGTTGCCTCTTCAGAACATAAAAAATGGGGAGGCTTCACCTTGCCATTACCGTAACTGAGGATGAACCAAAGGTAGAATTGAGCTTATGTGTTATTTCCCTGAACATGGAGTTTAATTAGTAAGTCTAAAAGCAATGTGTGCCTGATTCTTTTACAGTGGAGTGATGAATTTTTTGAAGGAGTAACAGTAAGTAAAGAAGACATGTGGGCTTCTGAGAAACCTTACCTCAAGCATCGATTGCCTTGTCTTGTAGATTTATAGTTCCTGTATATTGATTACGGAGTAATGGAACAAAAAGGGATCTTGAAGGGTTTAGCTCAGAGGATTATATTGATAGGAAGTATTGCATTGTTGCTGGGAAGAAGGCTCTTGAAAGTTCTGGTTTTGGTGGTGATAAGCTAGCTTAGCACAATACTACTCTTTTAGATTGATCAAAGTTCAGAGCTTTGAGACTCATTCAAATTATGTTGCTTGTTATGTACTTCAAATGACTTTTTACTAAAAGACAATATAAAAGTTTTTACCAATAATATGCATATTTTCTTATGTTTATTAACATTGTTTCTTAATCAAAAATAATAATAAAAAATGTTAAGAGACATTAATTTTGTCTCTGCAATAATGTTGCTCTAAGATTACTCTATAAATAGAATAACCATTATTCTATTTTGGAAGTGAATACTCATAAGTGTTGGAGAAGATTTTACTTCAAAATAGGGAGTAGAAAATAGAGCAGAGTTGTCCTAAGGTGATTTTTCGAAGTGTTTTCTTCAAATCGAAACGAAGCTGGTCTTATCTTTCTTATCATATACTTCGATTTTCGTTTTTAAATTTTAATAAAGTTTCGATCTTGGATCGAAGAGACAAATAGCTCTCTGTTTTTACAGTTCAATTCCTCGTCCCTGGAAGATGGATAAAGGCAAGAAGGTAGACAGGCGAAAGAGGAGAGGCTGCTTCATTGGTGATGGAGATTGAAGCTTGAAACTTCTCAAAAGGTACTCTGTTTCAACAAAGAGGAGGCGGAGAAACGGAGAAGGTTCCGGCCACGTATCCTTCATAACTTTCAAACCTACAGCTTTAGTTTGAAGGACACACATGAATTGATACAACGTATTTTGTGGAGGCACTTGCTGAATACACATTTGTGGATGAAGTTGAATCCACCTTTCGTTTTCAATTTGGAGTTTTATGCTTTGTTGGGCGTTGCCTTGTAACTATCACCAATGTATGTATGTTGCCCATTTGGACCTTTTGAAATTGCAATCGACAGAAAGAAAACAAGTAAAAATTATTTTATAGCTAACAGGAAGTCTATACATACAAGGGAGAGTAAATACAGTGCATAAAAATGATGTAACTCTGTGTTTGGAGAATATCGTCAAACAAAGACAAAAACAAAAGGTGTTGAAGACCTTTGTTTGATATTTACTTACAAAGTGTTGTTGTGCGCCTACTACCATTTGACGTCGAGTGTTAAAGCTTCTTGAGGACCAAGTATAGAAGGGAACTTAGTGAATGACATGTTAGACATCATACTGCTCCATGCCTCTGTATCCACTTCAATGAAAGGCACCACTTTTCTCATCCCCACTGCTTTCAACTTATCACCTTCAACTTTCGCCTTTACTTCAAACCATACCCGTTCAACCTTTGGTTTCGTTCTCCACTCTGCTCTTTTACTTGTCTCACTCTCATTGCTCCCAATTCTTCTCTCTATCTCTAACTGAAACCGTACCATGCCTGACACCTTTAATTTTGCAGTCAGAGAGCTTAGCGTTTGTGCAGCAGTTCCATTGCCCCCTAAAGAGCTCAGAGCTTTTTCCAACTTCTCAACCTTCAAGCCAAGAAGATCATTTGGGAGATAGTGCTGCTTATACGTGTGATCTTTATCATAACATTTCTCTGGAAGCAATTGGATTGTGTCATCAGATAAGTAAGAAGTCTTGATTTGGGAATCTGCTTTTTGAGTCCTAAAAGCAACCAATGAAGCTGATCCTATGATATGTATGGGAGGCAATGGGACACACACAGAACCTTGAGATGACCATGAACAACTTCCTTCTTTAATATCTACAGTAGCAGCAAATCTTCGATTGGCGGAGTGGAAAAGAGAGACTGCTTGTGCTTCCCTTATCTCTACTGAGATTCCATCACTGACAAGGACTCGTTTTAAACCCATGTGTGAGATGTTCATCTGAAAACAAAATCATAACCTCGATTCATCAGTGACAATGCTAGAGCCACAACAACATAGTTTTAACCTAAAATCCATGAGAACATGACCAAAATCGATGTAAGATTTAGGACACGGAGCTTTTAATCAGAACCGAACCAAGAGGAACTTAATAGTCATAAAAGTACCTCTTTACCCAAAATATTCCAATAGAACAAGAAACGAACCAAGCCAGTAGTCCAACAGAACAGGAGCAAAAACGAGTGTAAGAAGAATACTAACCGCTCAAGACCAAGAATCAAAGAATACCATAAATTCACTAAACAAGACCTAAGTTTCTAGCCAAGCAGTAAATAGATAAATGGTAAGGGAGAGGGAGTACCGGCAAGGCAAGCGAGAGACGGTCATCGTCGCCACCAACTCGTAGCTCAAGTGGACCTTTCAATACGATCGGATCAAGAACCTTACTCGAATTAACTTCCTTGACTATCTCCTCCAACTCCACGTTTCTTCTTCTCCACTCGGTCACTTCGTCCGGGAATATGAAAACGAATCTGCTCTTCCCTAACCGGATCCGGATCTCAAAGCTCCGACCCGAACCTATACGGAGCTTCTTCACTTCCAGTTTCGTAAACCTAACTTCCTCCAGATTCCACTTCTGTTTCGTTGATATCTCCTTCAATACATCCTAATCGGAAAAAAAAAAAGATTCAGATTGACGATCTTGAAGATTGATTGATTGAGTTTTGTACCTGTAGAATTGGCGTAATGGTGACGGTGGATTCGTCCGGGTGCCAAGGATCGAGAGCTATGGCTAGAGTGAGGGCTTGGATGAAGAGCGCCAGTAAGATAGAAATAGGTGAGCGGAGCATCATCACTAGTCCGGATCTGTTTTACGCCGCCGTAACCGCCAGCGTCAACGACCGTTTCTCGCCTCTTTGTAGGCAAGTGACGATGAAGTAAGCCCATTCAAGTTTTCTGATTAAATCATATTTGTTTTATTGATCTGGCCCCGTCCCCATCGATTTTAGCACTGTACATTTTACTTATGTCACAAAATGTTGTGTTTTTTTCTTGGTCAAAATATAATTCAATATAAGTTTTATTTCAATTTGCATCCACCCATAAAAAAATGATTTGATCAAGTTTAAATAACATATACGAATTTGGCTAAAAAATTAGATATTAAATTATTAAACAGAATATTATAAAATTAATTTTTGAATCATAAATACAAACTTATAGTAGATTTTCAATAACAAAAACAATAGCATATACATAAATTTTGGTTTTTTTTAATTATCATTTTCTTCGAATAACAATGTACAACTTTTATCAAATTCTAAAAAAATCACAAATCTTATAGTTTATTTAAATTTCTGTAATATTAAAAGTGTATGAAAAGTTTAATCACTTTTTATAATTATTTTTAAGAAAATTTGGGGTTTTTGCCGAGTAAACCGGTGTCGGTTGCGGGTTAAGACCGGTTTTTTGGTTTTTTTTTCAGATCTTATCGAGTTTTTAATTAATAGATATTTAATTAAATTTGAACTAGATTATTTACGTCACTGAATTTACCGGTTCAACCGTGGATCCGGTCGGATATGAAAACACTGCATCTGAGAGTTCAAAATTTATCACGCGAAACACAGCAACCTCATAAAGGACGTATGGTATGGGCTCATCCGCTATCGAACCAACCCCACTCGGTCAGAGTCGCCGCACAGTCTCTGCTTCTCATATGACAAGAGATGAGAACGGGAATTTTCCGATGCTTCAAACTACCAGGCAAAAAACTCTCATGCTAGTATCTATCTAGAGATTGTAAGTGATTTTGATTATTTTCGTTGTATTTTTTTTTCTATTCTAACTTTCCTTCTATTTGTAAGCCGGAAAAGCAGGAAGACTAACATCTCTTTCTGAGCTTTTCGAGGTGACACACAAGACACATGATGGAAGCTTTGTGGATCCTAGATTAGAAAAGATTTACAGTGACGTAGTTACTTGGATTGAAGAACGCTAGATGCAGCAACTCTAGCAGACTCCAAATGGATTATCCGTCATGTTCTTTACACAAAAGGTGGACAAGATTCTTTTTTAAAATAATTATTTACATTTTATTGTTTACCTATTCTCTTAATTATTTAATAATTTTATATAATTTAATTAATTTTTGTTTTCAAGGTGGTCCTTATAAAAAGGTCGGATCTTGGGAATTAATATAATAGGTTAACAATGTCCCAAGGACGATATTATCTTATTTAGAGAGACGAGATAAGAAGTCCTCCCGGCTGCAAGCTGATTTGGATGTGACGCAAGCTCGTTTGGCATCCGTCGATGGTCTTCTTGGCATTTTGGCGAAAGGAAACCCACAGATGCAGAAGATGTTGGAGTATAGTCAGCGACAACTTGGGATTCCAGATCTACCAGCTCATTATGTGGATGAGGAGGCGAAGTTTACGAGAAGGAGCAGCTCAGACAACTTTGGCAACAACGATATCCTTGAACCCTAGCTTTGTTTTTTTTTTTATGTATTAAACTTAAATATTATTTTTAAAATTATATTTCATAAATTTTCTAGTGTTTTAAATTTATTTTATATACTTTAATCATTTTATATTTTTTTAAATTAATTATTTTGAAAACCAAAAATTAAAATTATCGAAGTAAATTTGTAGTTAATTTTATGAGCACTTCACGTATATGCCGATGTTAACTCCTCGTAATATTTACGACGAATTTACATGGAAATTCACTTACATTAGTCGTAAACTATTACGTAGAATTAACATGGACGTCGATGTAAATTCGCTGTACCATTTACGTTTCTAGAACGACAAAATAACTTGGATATTTTACGAGTACTTTACAACGAACACTTATGA